AACTTTATTATATACTTCAGAGTTACTAAGAAAATAGATCTTAAATATTCTCACCGCAAAATAAAAATGGCAATTATATGAGGTGATGGAGGTGTAACCCACCCCTATTGTGGTAATTATTTTACCATATTCAAATGTAGCAAATCATCACATTGAAGGCACTCCTGTGTGGTTCAGACGGTTAAGTGTCCAACTCTTGATTTCCGCTCAGGTTATGATCTTACCATTTGTGAGATGGAGCCCTGTGCCCAGCTCCACACTGACAGTGAGGAGCCTGCTTGGAATTCTCTATCTCTCTCTTGTTCTCTCTCTCTCTCTCTCTCTGCTCCTACCCTGCTCTCTCTAAAAATAAATAAATAAACTTAAGAATCCCCACATTGTATATTTTACACAACATCTAACATGATGTTCTATCTCAATAAAGCTGAGACACACACAGTGGATCAATACAAAGTTTAGAGTAATGGTTACCTCCTTTGGGAGTAGGTTGGGGAGGAGACAGGAGGGGAATAAAATCATTTTAAGGGATGTTTCTAGCGAATTCTCCAGCTGAATGGTAGGTTTCTGGATATTTATTATATCAATATGCATTATAACTTATGTAAATATTACTTAAAATGTTTTCTACTTATCACATATATTTAAGTGATAAAGAAAATATATAGGAATAATAATGTTATTTTGTCTTCTTAGTAGATGAAAAATCTGTAGAAATTGTATATTATCTTCCTTCCCTCCATTTCTTGCATTTTGTTTCCTTTTCAATGGGAAATACTTTAATCCTTTAAAAAATAAATTTATAACATTTTAGTAGTTGAAAGTACTCTTGAGAAGAAAAGGTGATTTCTTAGTTTTCTATTTTCCAGAAATTACAAGCTCAGTTAGTGAGGGCTGTACCTAATTATCCATGATTGTTTTTTAAGTACACTTGCTGTACTCAAATAGTAATTGTAGCAAAATCCCAATAATTAGTAAACAGATTTTTATATAAGTATTAGATTTACTGATAGGTGAAATTAAAAAAGAAAGGAAGGGAGGGAGGGAGGGAGGAAGGAAGGAAGGAAGGAAGGAAGGAAGGAAGGAAGGAAGGCAGGCAGGCAGGCAGGCAGACACACCTCAGGAGCTACTTGCCATTTAAAAAAAAAAAGAGCAGGACCATGTCAGCATACTTAAAAACACAATGAAACTTTACTTTCTAAAAAATAAAGCTTTAATTTAAAATGATTAGATTATTTAAAATGCACATGTCCTCAATATAAAAGAAATTGAATTTTTTATCCAATTAGTGAAAGCGCATAGTCAAAATACTAAAAAATGAGGTAAATTGTTTTTTATCTAGAAGCATAATAAATCAGAAGCAAACTCTGTCAAATGTTAGTCATTGAGAACATCAATCTGTACAATGACTCTGCTGTCAACTTCAAGTTTGAGGCTTAATCATTTCAGAAGCAAGAAAGCCATGAGTCATATTTTACCCAGGAGGCATTGAGAACACAATATTCATGCTGTTACCCTAATAAATTTCTTGACAATTTGTCTCAAGGTCAATTGGCAATGAAATAATAGAAATTTTAAATTTTGAACAGATTATGTGAAGGTGGATTTAATGAATATGTAGTCTGCATTGTCATTTGGTCTCATGTATATATCCATCGGAAAATATGAGACAGCCTGCAAAACTAGTAAAACACATAATAGTCCTGAAGTATACTTAATAAGCAATTGCGTGACATATAAGCACTGAATAGCATCAGAATATGTGACTCCAGATCATTTTTTCTAAAGGGTTAGCCTTTGGAGTTTTTAAAGAATGTTTCATATCCGAAGAAACATAATTCATTAATTTATGATACCTACATAAATTTTATCACATCATGCATCATATTTATTTAAAGACCATGATGCAAAAGTGGTAATAATGCAAAATTGCCTAGAAAATATTCCCCTCCCTGTATATACCTCTCTAAATAGTTCCTCTTCACATTTACTCTGGGCTTGGCCAATGTGACTTACTGTCTATGTATTAGTCATACAGAGTATGAAATCAGGGTTCCAGCATGGTCGAATTCTGGTGCGAAACTTCTTGGCTTTTTGGGAGAAACCCGCCTTTTGTGTTCTCACATGGCCTTTTCTTAATGCATGTGTGCGGACAGAGATACCGAGCTTTCTGATTTCTCTTTGTATAAAGGCAACAATTCCATCAGACCTTGTCCGGATACTTGTAACCCAGTTACTTCCCAAAGGCCCCATCTCCAAATACCATTACATCAGTTTGGAGTTTGAATAAAAGGATTGAAGGGGGGGGAGCCCACAAATATTCGGTCTGTAACATTATGGACAATGGAATAATAGCAAATATGACACAAGCAGAGACTTCAAAACCATTTGCGTATGTGAGCCCCTTCTTTCTTGTTGTGTTCTGGACCCCCATCATCACTATCCTATAAAAGGGTGTGAGGTAGTCTGCTGAGTAATGAGAGACATGTGGCCTTGTCCCATCTTTGTCCTTATTGATCCAGACTAACTTAATTCATGAGTAAAATAACCTGACTGCTTAGGATCAGTCTTACTTGATAATCAGTCTGAGACAATTATAATCACAGATTACTACTGCTCTCCCCACCTCACCAGGCCTTTCAAATACTAACACTACTTTATATGTGACTTAGGGCCACATGTTCCTCCTTGGACACTGTGATATGAATTAATGATTACTTTAAATCGTTCTACTATCAAAGTTCTGCCAAAAGAAGATTCCTTCATTCTAGCATTTAATTCACAAATATTTATCAAACAACTACATGGAAAGAGTTCAATAGGATAAAATTAGGGGTACAACAATGGAACAAGATGCAGCCCATGCATTCACAGTCTGTAATTCTTTGGGAGATAACAATAAAAAAGGGAGGAAATATAATACCCTGTGGCAGCTTTTCTCAACTGCAATGATCTGAACCAGCCAATATTGAAATGACTTGAGTGACTATATTCTCAATTGTCTCAAGTATGTTACATAAACATTATGTACCTCAGTGTATAGGCAGTAAGTTAATACAATCCATTCTAAGACTTATGACAACAAGGGTAATTCTCTCGTCAAACTCTAGCTGAGGAAAAAAAAAACAGTCTATAGGAAAAAAATTGTCTATTAACTATTGCATGAGTAAGTATAATCATACCAGCCTGAAGAGATTATAAATCTATTTTGGTTGAGACTTTACTGATGTATGTGAATAGTCAAGTGAAAAGAAAAGAGAAAAATAATCCAACAAGAATATTTTGGGCGCACTTGGCAGGCTCAGTTGGTAGAGCATGCAACTCTTGATATCAGGGTTGAGAGTTCAAGCCCCACGTTGGGCATGGAGACTATTTGGAAAGGGGCTGGGGGGATGCGTGGGTGGCTCAGTTAATTGAGTGGCTGACTCTGACTCAAGTGATGATCTAATGATTTGTGGTTTCAAGCCCCACATGGATCTTGCTGCTATCAATACAGAGACTCCCTCGCTTTGGATCCTCTGCCCCCTTCTCTCTCTCTGCCCGTCCCCTGCTTGTGCTCTCTCTCAAAAATAAATAAACATTTAAAAAAAGAAATAAGAAAAAGCTAAAACTAAGAAATATTTTGCACAGATTCTTGGTAGGAGAGATGCTAGTACACTTGTAAAACTAACAGGTAAAGTCGACTCCCTCTTTCTGATAGCTAACCAACGATGCTCCAGAAAACAGCAGAGCAAAAATCGAAACAGACTAAAATCACTTAGAAGAACTAATACACAGAATGAAAAACAGTTTTATCTTATAAAACACTTATAATGTGTTTCCAAAATTAAGTTCTGTGCAATGGATCAGAAATGGATGTTACAACTGTTTTCCATTTTTGTGGCTGTCCTCCTAGTCCACATAATTTTAACTTACACGAAGGAAAAATGTATGTGTTAATTCAACATTCATATGAAATGTTTTATTGCTAAAAAAACCACTAAGGACTACCAGTAGACAAAAAAAAAAAAAGACAACAACAAAAAGCACCCACATTTGCTAGAAACTTGTCTAGTCTTTAAGTAACAGTGCATCACTTTACTGAATTAGGTTTAATTTTATTCAACATTCCTGGATTCTTATCTTCAATGTTTATTCTGTCTATGTTGATGACATGGTCTTACCAGAATATTTCAGAAGTAGCCTCAAGAAACAACTGAACCTATTGACGATTACTGTCTGAAAGAACAGCTCAGTATTAATTATGCCAAACCTAACTTATCATTTTTGGTAGCTGTTCTTCTACAGCTATAAAACGCTAAAAATTCTATCCAACAGGTTAGCTTTATTATATGTGGGAGTATTATATAGCAAAATGATCCTGACATGCTTATTACACTGCTCAAAATTCTAAATTTTATAAGAGCCTTGTAAGTTATTTTATGATAGAGGTGATAGAAATGGAAACTTCCTGCCTACAAAACATCCCAGGTCAGAGTCAACCCTTTTATGCTTCAGAGTGCAGAATTCTGCAGCTTTATTAAAGCTTTGATTCAAATAGATGACTAGATCCAAAACTGCATTTGAATTAAAGTCTTTGGACTACTATAAAGTACTCTTGAAGAACCATATTGATACAGAGATGGCACATCTTTCCTCTCGGTAAAAATACAAGCAAGGCTCTGAGTTTTATATAATAATGGCATTTTTGCAACCCACAGAATTAGAATACAAAGTGGATCTATCTTATTATAATAGGTGATACAGAACCACCAGCCACTTCAGTCTTAATTATTTGCTATCCAACCTTAGCCAAAAGTCAGCTAACAGATGAAGATATTTCTGTAAATTTGCATTTGGATATAACCTGTCTGCTGCAAACACATGATGATGAAAAATTAGATCTTAAAAGAGAAAACCAAAGCAAATAACTAACCTAAATGATGATGATAATGATGATAAGAACAACAAACAACAATACAATGTACAATACAATAACAACAACAACTAACAGCTGTACAGACCAGAAGCACAATGTCTTGAAATCGGAGTCTGCTGGAATCTGGAAACTTTTGAAGCAAAAGTTCAAGTTCTATACAACGGAAGGGAGAACTTGAGCAAGTGTTCCATGCAAGATCAGAGATTAGAGACTTGTCCACCGATGTAAGCCAGGTACCAGTGTAGGCCTGTCTTCTATTCCCTCAGTTCCTCCTGAGTGGAGAGAGAGAAAAGCAAACTGTTGCCCACCACAACCGGGACAGTATTTCCTTACATTAGAGCCAATGAGACACAGGCAGAACTGGGCAAAAAAAGTCAAACAAAGCTAGGCCACGGCTTCCATCTAGATTGCTACAGATTTCCAACAAGCACAGGATGTGGAACATCAGGAACTCTTCTCCATTTTGGAAAAAGCTTGTTGAAGTTCTGCATATCTTACAATCATCAATTCCTCTCCTAGGTACACGTTTGTGCAGGAGAAGATACATAAAGAATGTTTATAGCTGCCTGGAAATAGAGTTTTTAAAAAATTGGAAACAAGTTAAATGTATATAAATAAAAGATCAGGTAATTAAAGTATGCATATTCTTGTGAAAATGTCTATACTACCCAAAGCAATCTACATATTTAATGCAATCCCTATCAAAATACCACCAGCATTTTATACAGAGCTAGAACAAACAATCCTAAAATTTTTGTGAAACCACAAAAGGCTCCCAATACCAAAAGCAATCTTGAAAAAGAAAAGTAAAGCTTGAGGCATCACAATTCTGGGCTTCAAGCCATATTACAAAGCTGTAGTCATTAAAACAGTATGGTGCTGGCACAAAAACAGACAGATCTATGGAACAGGTTACAAAACCTAAAAATGAACCCACAACTATATGGCCAACTAATCTTCAAAACAGCAGGAAAGAACATCCAATGGAAAAAAAAAGACAGTCTCTTCAAGAAATGGTGTTGGAAAAACTGGACAGCACCTACTGTGAAAGAATGAAACTGGATGAATAAAACTGGACCACTTTCTTACATCATACACAACAATAAATTCAAAGTGGATAAAAACCTAAATGTGTGACAGGAAACCATCAAATTCCTAGAGGAGAACAAAGGCAGTAACCTCTTTGACCTCAGACATAGCAACTGCTTACTATTCACGTCTCTGGAGGCAAGGGACACAAAAACAAAAATGAACTATTGGGACCTCATCAAAATAAAAAGCTGTTGCACACCAAAGGAAACAACAAAACTATAAGGCAACCGATGGAATGGGAGAAGATATTTGCAAATGACAAATCTGATAAAGGGTTAGTATCCAAAATCTATAAAGAATTTATCAAGCTCAACACCTTAAAAAACAAATATTTCAGTTAAAAAATGTGCATAAGACATGAATAGACATTTCTCCAAAGAAGACATCCAGATGGCTAACAGATACATGAAAAGATGCTCAACATCACTCATCATCAGAGAAATACAAATCAAAACCATAATGAGATACCATCACTCACTGGTCAGAATGACTAAAATGAACAACTCAGGAAACAATAGGTGTTGGTGAGCATATTGAGAAAGAGGAACTCTCTTACATTGTTGGTGGGAATGCAAACTGGTACAGCCACTCTGGAAAACACTGTAGAGGTTCCTCAAAGAGTTAAAAATAGAACTACCACACAATCCAACAATTGCACTTCTAGGTATTTACCCAAAGGATACAAAAGTACTAATTTGAAGGGGTATGTGCACCCTGATATTTATAACAGCATTATCAACAATAGCCAAATTATGGGAAGAGCCCAAGTGTCTAGCAACTGATGATTAGAGAAAGAAGAGGTGGTAGATAGGTAGATAGATAGATAGATAGATAGATAGATAGATAGATATACATCTACACACACACACACACACACACACACACACACACACACTAGAGTATTACTCAGCCATCAAAAAGAATGAAATCTTGCCATTTACAATGACATGGATGGAGCTAGAGTGTATTATGCTAACCAAACTAAGTCAGTCAAAGACAAATACCATATATAATCACTCACATATGGAATTTAAGAAACAAAACAGATCAATACAGAGGCAAAGAAAGGCAAACCAGGAAATAGGTTCAACTTTAGAGAACAGGGTTACTGGAAAGGATTCTACAGGTATCGGTAGAATAGGTGACAGGTATTAAAGTGGGCACCTGTGATAACGTGGGTGTTGTATATAAGTGATGGATCATTAAATTCTATACCTGACATTAATATTACACTGTATGTTAACTGACTGGAATTTAAATTAAAAATTGAAAAAAAAAAGATAAACAGAAAGAATAAAGTATATATATATTCATGGAATGGAATATACAGAGTTAAATTGAATGAGTGAAAGCTATCCGTTTGAGCCACCTCAGATAAAGCATGTGGCAAAAGGACTAATTCAGTATGATCCCAATAAATGAGGCCTGATAACTCATAAAACAGCATAAAATATATATATAATATAATGATAAAATATAAATAAGTAGAATAAAATACAACAAATATAACAAAATATAAATAAATATATATATACAGTAAAGTATAAAATGATAAGTGAGAAGGCTAACCCTCAAATTCAGCAAGGCCATTATTACAGGGAGCAGGTAAGGGAAAAAGGGGAGCCACAGGAAGGGAGAATAACATGGGTGTCCCTCTGTGTCTATGAACTATTAGTCCTTAAGTAATTAATTATTCACTCAATAACTATATTATGTACATACTGTGTGCTTGGCACCATTCTAGGCACTGGATATAAGCAGTAAACAAAAGAGATTAATATTCCTACCCTTAAAGAGTTTATGTTCCAGAAGAAAACGAGGAGGAAGCAGACAAGGAATAAGTAAGTGAATGTGAAGCATTCCCCATGATGACAACCATTCTGCAGTAAAATGAAACCTACAAGGGAGACGTGGAGGAGTGAGGGTGGATTGCTGCAATATTAAACCCCATAGCAGAAGGTGTTGCATAAGAGAGCCTCACTGAGAAAGTCACCTTTAAGAAAAGATGTAAAAAGGTGTGAGTACAAGATAAAAAGTTGTCTGGAGGAAAGAGTTCTTGGTAAAGGGAAGAACACATGCAAAGGCCCTGAGGCTGCAGAGTGCCTGACAAGTTCAAAATGACAGGGCGCCTGGGTGGCTCAGTCAGTTGAGCATCTTGACTCCTGATTTTGGCTCAGGTCATGATCTCCCAGTTCGTGGGAGTTCGAGCCCCACATTTGGCTCTGTGCTGACAGTATGGAGCCTGCTTGGAATTCTCTATCCCTCTGGCTCTCTCTCAAATTAAATAAAAATAAACTTAAAAAATAATGTACAAAATGATATAGATGTAGAGGCACACTGTAAATAATAAAAAGCTACAAGAAAATAGTTAAGTTATTTTAACACAACTATCTGGTTTGGTGGGAGATAGAAAATGCACTATATGTGGATTCAGGTCTCTCTCAACTTTTGGCACTCCAAATCACACTGAGAATAAGTCATACAAGACTTAAAAGAAGGAATGAAGGCTGAAAAGGCAAAAGATAAAAAGTGGAAGTATTAGTTTCCCTAGAAAATTTCCAAATTCCCAGTCAACTTTTATCTAAAAAAAAAAAAAAAAAAAAAAAAACACTTAGCAAAAAGATTTTAAAAAATCAAGTGCTTCTCCATATACTTCCTATACTTCCTTTCTGTGATGGTTAATTTTATGCATCAACTTGGCGAGGTTCCAGTGCCTGTTGTTTGGTTGGTCAAACAGTCCAGATAATTGCTATGAAGGTGTTTTGTAGATATAATCAACATTTATAACCAACTGACTTTAATTAAGTGATGAAAATTACCTTTCACAACACGGGTGGGCCTCATCCAATCAGCTGAAGGCCTTAAGAGTAAAAACTGAGGTTTTCCAAAGAAGAATGAATTCTACCTCAAAACTGTAACATACAAATCCTATCGGAGTTTCTAGCCTGCTGCCGGGCCCTATGAATTCTGGACTCAAGACTGAAATATCAACTCTTGCATGAATTTCCAGCCTGCTAGCACCTTTGCAGATTGCAGCCTTGCCAGCACCTCTAACTGATAAGCCAAGTCCCTAAAATTAATCTCTCAGTTTTGTTTCTCTGTAGAACCCTGACGGATACAAAGGCCTGACAGATACAGAGGACAGAGCATGGAGCCAGAGAGAATTTTCTCAAGCCTTAAATCCTAATGGCACTTGCTCTGCTAAGTTGCAAACTTGCTTTAGACCAGTGACCCTTCTATCGTTCCAATTTATCCCTTTTTGAAGGGGAAGGAAGGAATATCTATTCTATATCTGTCCTACTGTTGTAACATGGAAGCAGATGACTGGCTTGCTAGACTTCACAGGTCCACAAATGGAGAACAATTTTGCCCCTAAGGTATACCCCAAGTCCCACCCATTGGATTTGGATAGAATGTGGACTTAAGAGTCAATGCCAGAATGGTTCAATCTTCAGAGGATACCGGGATTGGGTGAATGTATTTTACATGGGGAAGGACATGACTTTGGGGAGGGTCAGAGGCAGAGTGTTATTTGAACTGTGTCCCTCAAAAAAAAGTACATTTAAGTCCTAACCTCCAATACTTCAGAATGTGCCCTTATTTGAAACTGGGGCCGATGCAGAAGTAAATGGTTAAGATAAGGTTATGCTTAAGTAGGGTGGACTCCTAATCCAGTTTGACACGTGTCCTTATAAGAAGATGGCCATGTGAAGACACAGAAAGAATCATGTGAGGCAAAGACATAGACTGGGGTAATGCTGCCACAGCCTGTCAGAAGGTAGAAAAAGAAAGGAAGGATTCTTTCCTAGAAGCTTCCAAGAAAACCCAGAGGAGCCAAGGCTCCGATTTCAAGACTTCAGGTCTCCAAAATAGAGAGAATACATTTCTGTTATTTTTATCCAAGGACTAGTTTGTAGTACTTTGTTATAGTAGCCCTAGAAAGTGCTCAGCAAGGATTTATGGTCTACCAGGTAACATTTTAAATAAATTCACATGATTCTTATACTAAGTGAAGGAAACACTACTATTATTGCTATAACCCCCACTTATAACTCACTTAACAGAGACTCTTACAAGTTATGTGATTTACCCATGACTGAAAAGCAAGTTAACTATGATGCTGAGGCTTTGAGCTAGGTTTTCTGACACCTACCCTTTACAGAATTGAAAGTATTGGTAT